ACACAGATGAGCTTTCCCACCCTCCATAGATAAGAATTATTAAGGCACAGGATAAGCTTACTGCTAAAAGCCAAGTAATTTGTGTGTGTGTACGCAGCTGCAGCGAACTTTATTGGCGATATTCAAGAGCGTAGGGCTCCCTGGGCCCCTCCGGCTATCCTGGAGGTCTGAGATGGAAACTGTGAGGGAGATGCTCAGCATCAGGGGCTGAGTTGGGGCGGAGACTCCTCAGTAGCCAAGGGCCTCTCTCTTGCTCTACTGTCCCGGCTGGGGTGGGTGGTCCAGGGCTTCTTACTCCTTGGAGGCCATGTAGGCCGAAAGGTTCATCACCCTGTTGCTGTAGCTGAATTCATTGTCATACCAGAAAATGAGTGTTACAAGGTTGTCATTTAGGATAATGCCAGCCCCAGTATCGAAGGTGGAAGAATGGGAGTCACTATTAACGTTGCAGGAGACAACCTGGTCCTCAGTGTAGCCCAGGATGCCCTTTAGTGGGCCCTTGGATGCCTACTTGATGTCATCATACTTGGCAGATTTCTCCAGTCGGCATGTCAGATCCACAACAGACACGTTGAGGATAAGAACATGGAAGGCCATGCCAGTGAGCTTTCCCGTTCAGCTCTGGGATGACCTAGTCCACAGCCCTGGCAGCACCAGGGGATGGAGGGTTGATGTTCTGGGTGGTGCATGGCCATCACGCCATAGCTTTCCACAGGGGCCATCCACAGTCTTCTGGGTAGTAACTTTAAACTAGGCTGACCCTGGTGTGAAATACTCCTAATGAACAAGCATATGAACTTAAAGTGCACTTGGAAAAGGATGTTCCCACAGAGCAGAGCTCTGCATTGGGAAGAGTGATTATCTACCAAGCTCTATCCTGTAGCTTCCTGGTAGGTAGCATTCTCTGCCAAGTGCACTGTGAAGCCATGGATAGAAAGTTTAAGAGTAGGCCAGGCAGTGGTGGCGCACGCCTTTAATCCTGGCGCTCTGGAGGTAGAGGCAGGTGGATCTAAATTCAAGGCCAGCCTGGTCTACAGAGTGAGTTCCCGAGACAGCCAGGGCTACATAGCGAGACCCTGTCAAAAGTTTAAGTGTAACATTCAAGTAAAAATTAACCTTATGTTCATACTTTGTGCTTTATAAAGGCTTGACTAATGCGTATCATTTGGCCACAACAGCCAAATCTTTAAAGACCTACCTGTCTGCGACAGGAGTAAAAAAAGAATCTCCTAAAGAAAAAAGTTAAATACATTCAGATGTGAAAATCTTTACTGATTGTGCTATTTTCTCAACTTTCAATACAAGCCCACATTACCCTTAAATTTATATCTTTTATTGTTAGTTTAAATCACAGAGATTTGACAACATTTACTTTCTCAGGAAGAAAAGGCGGCTCCGACTTCTTAGAAAACCAAAGAAGTGACTTTAAAAAATGTGAAAATAAGGTCCCATTTATTGATTGTTGCTCTTAGAGCTTGTGCTGTTGGTAAAGCAAAGGACACTGTCATCAAAACAAAACGACTGCCTACAGATTGGGAAAGAATCTTCACTAACCCTTTATCTGACAAAGGACTAATATCGAGTATATACAAAGAACTAAAGAAGGTGAAAAGCAGCAAACCAAGTAATCCAATTAAAAAATGGGGAACAGAGCTAAACAGAGAATTCTCGACAGAGGAATATCGAATGGCAGAGAAACACTTAAAGAAATGCTCATCCTCATTAGCCATTAGGGAAATGCAAATCAAAACGACCCTGAGATATCACCTTACACCCATCAGAATGGCCAAGATGAAAAACTCAAGGGACAACACATGCTGGAGAGGTTGTGGAGAAAGGGGAACCCTCCTCCACTGCTGGTGGGAATGTAAAATGGTACAACCACTCTGGAAATCTATCTGGCACTTTCTAAGACAATTAGGAATAGTGCTTCCTCAAGACCCAACTATACCACTGCTAGGTATATACCCAAAGTTTGCTCAAGTACACAAAAGGGATATTTGCTCAACCATGTTCATAGCAGCTTTATTTGTAATAGCCAGAACCTGGAAACAACCCAGATGTCCATCAACGGAGGAATGGATACAGAAATTGTGGTATTTTTACACAATGGAATACTACTCAGCAATCAAAAAGGAGGAAATCATGAAATTTGCAGGCAAATGGTGGGATCTAGAAGAGATCATCCTGAGTGAAATATCCCAGAAGGAGAAAGACAAACACGGTATATACTCACTTATATAGACCTATAAGATGTGATAAACATAATGAAATCTGTACACCTAAAAAAGATAATCAAGAGAGCGGACATGGGGTAAGATGATCAATCCTCGTTTAGAAAGACAGATGGGATGTGCATTGAACATATAACAGGAGTCTACTGAGCGCATTTGAAAGACTCTAAATAGCAGGGTTTTCAAAGCAAAGACTCATGACCAAACCTTTGGCAGAGGACAGGGAATCATAAGAAAGAAGGGGAGTTAGTCTGATGGGGAAAGGATAGGAGCTCCACAAGGACCAAATATATCTGGGCACAGGGTCTTTTCTGAGACTGACATTCAACCAAGGACCATGTATGGATATAACCTAGAACCTCTGCTCAGATGTAGCCTGTGGTAGCTCAGTAACCAATTGGTTTCCCATAGTGAGGGGAACAGGGACTATTTTTGACAGGAACTCAATGACTGGCTCTTTGGCCTCCCCACCCCCCAAGGGAGGAGCAGCCCTGCTAGGCCACAGAGGAGGACTTTGCAGCCACTCCTGAAGATACCTGATAAAACAGGATCAGATGAATGGGGAGGAGGTCCCCCCTATCAGTGGACTTGGAAAGGGGCAGGGAGGAGATGAGGGAGGGAGGGAGGGACTGGGAGGGAATGAGGGATCGGGACGCGGCTGGGACACAGAGTTAGCTACTCTTAGACCCAAGTTCAGTTCTCAGCACTCACATTAGAGCTCACAACCGCCTGTAATTCCAGCTTCAGGCAATCCAATAGGAAGCCTTTTCTGGCCTCTGTGGACACCAGGCATGCATTTGGTCCACACATATGTCTGCAAGGAAACGCTCATAAAAAATATGTCTAAAATATTTTCAGTTAAATAGTCCCCTCACTGTTCTGTAACCTAAGTGGATAAATCACTCTATTCCAACTGCCTCCATCCAAAACCAAAGCAGATGTCAGAAAAACCACCACATAGAACTACTCAAGAGGACTTTATTAGTCATTATAACTTTAAATGTTTGTCTTGAAACACACTACTTGCTGTATCGCTTACACGTACCTCCCTCCTTTTCACAGGCCACCCCTCTTGTGGCACTGTCATGGAAAGAGCACACCTACCTTGTGTTCATAATACCACCCTGATATGGTGGACACATTTCCCTTTCCCCAAGGTTAATGCCAACCTGGCTTCAGTCACGCTTCAGTTAGCACTACCTTGCATCTGTTTCCTCCTGCCCAGCATCCTCTGCTATAACCTACTTGGCATCATGGCCAGACTCATCTTAAAGTCATTCTGTATCCTCCCTTCTTCAGAAATCCAGTGTTCCCCTCTCATAGCACTGTGTTTAAAGTTGTAATTTTTTTATCTGCATCAACCAGTTCATTCATTTCTTCCCTTTGCAAAGGGAGCCCTAACCCATGACATAAGTCATGAGAACAGAATTTCTTTGAAAGCTAAGATCAAAAGCCCTATGATTTCTCTCCTATTCGCATGGCAATATATTAACTTACAGCACCACCTACCTTTCAGAGGAAGGGGAGAAAACAAGACTTATTTTCCAGATAAGCCCATATGTTTCGCTTAAACGATTATTGGTAAAAGTAGGTTCAAAGTGCAATCAAATAAAAACAAAACAAAAAATAAAGAAGTAAAAAATGATCCACTTGATATTATGTAAACACCCGTAACAGCATTTATACATTTCTTGGTAATGTTTCATTCAAGTCTGGCCAGCAGCATCCTGATGATTTTAATGCAACACAAGATAATGGAAAAACTATTATCTTTAACTACCAAGCAGAAACTGTAGTTAAGTAGAAGAGCCCATTTTGACTAGTAGAGGCAAATATTCATTGATCATTTCATGACCAAACATTAACTAAAATGGATGTTGCTTTTCCCTCAGAATTCATGGTTAGGTTGTCTTCCTTGTTTAAATAGGAGAAAAAAAAAATTCAAGGTATAATTTTTTTTATTATTATTTTATTTTAGTCTTCTCAGTATATGTCTGCTCTAAACAGAAGCAAGGCTTGTTGATGTACACATAGCTCAGATCATGTACACACACTCCCGAGGTCACTCTTAGCTCTCATGCTGCAATAGGAATATTTCCATTAATGACAATTTGCTTACATGAGCCTAATTGCTACGGAGATACCAGAGATACTATTTTTGATCAAACGGGCAAGCATCTGTACCAATTATTACCTAATTATTAAAGAAGTCAAGCCATGAGAGGCAACTAGGTTTGTGTTGCCCATGAACTGAAATGGCTTCTGTTGAAATGGTGCCTCTGTGCAAGCTGAGGAGGGATCCACCTTCTTCACATCTACAGGAAATGGAGGCACTCCTGCTAATGACTCCTGTCCACAGAAGACAGAGTGCAAGTCAAGGGTTATCTATGGCTGTCTCGTGCTGGAGTCCTCCGGTGTCAAAACCAGAAGAGGGGGCTAAGGAGAGGGCTCGGTGGGTGAAAGCACCTGTCATCCAGGCCTAACCCATAGCCTTGGATCCCCAGAGCCCATGTGAAAGCCAGACACAATGACCCTCCCTGTTCTCACAGGGAGATGGGAGACTGAGACAAGAAAACCGCCAGGAGCTAGCACATCAGCTAGCCTGGGATACACAGCAGTGAAGAGGTCACATATTAAACAAGGAGAAAAGAATCCGCACTCCAGGTTGTTCTCTGCCTTCTATACATGCACCAAGGAACGCCTGTCCACACAACCAAGCACACACATACACACATACACCCACATAATATTAAAACTCAGTCAGAGTGACCTTGAAAATGATGAAGTTTATCAAACATTTTGAAAATGGCATTTGGTAATAATTTTAAGTTAATTTGACACAAGGTTTGAAGAGCACATTTTAAAACAGCTTGTGAAAACTGAGTAACTAAATGAGGTATTTTTTTTTTTTAACAAGTGATATACTGAGACACTAATTATTTTCGAAGGCTCTTTTGTTAGGGCTATAGTTCATCATGTCATACTTAATACAACTTGTACTATATAGTCTTTCTTCTGGTGATTTATGTCAACTGACACAAAGGAGAACCATTCTGTGACTGGTGAATTAAATTACCATTCATTACCATTCAATTTAAATACTGTTATCTTGCCAGAGTTGCCAACAGAAAGAAGCAGTTCTAACATTAATGATAATGACGAACAATTTGGTTCAACTGATGGACTAAAAGAGGGATATTTCCCATCTGTTCTTTTTCCTAGGTCTTCTCCTCTCTTATGAGATAGGGTCTCACTTTGTAGCTCAAGCTAGCCTTGAACTCATGGGAACCCTCCTGCGTTGGTCTCCCAATTACAAAGATTATAGGTGTGTCCCACCACCCTGAGCGTATAGGCCAGTTTTCTGTTTTGCATGTCATGTTAAAGTAGACTAGAGTTTTTTTATTTCCTCACATTTGATTGTACAATATAAACAGATTACAATGCTTTAACAAACAACATTGTATTTAGAACAATACAAACTTACAATGCATGATGAGACAGAACAAAATTTATTTCAATATTTTCCAACTCAGTATGAATATGAAGAGCTCACTTTTGAAGTTTAGATCAAATGCAGCTTTTCACAGGGAAAAACAAACAAACAAAAAACCCAAAAACCAAAATCAAACAAACAAACAAACGCTCTCCCAGCCCCCTCGGTGAGATGGGGCCTCAGTGTGTAACCCAGCTGGCCTTAAATGAGTGATCCTCCTTTCTCAGTCTCTTAAATGCTGAGGTTACAGTTGTAAACCCAGTTGTTCCCCAACTTTTACGAGGTAGGGTCTCTGGACAATCAACTCTTGTTCTTCTTCCTCTTTCTTCATTTTTATTGTATTTTTTAGAAGTTCACAGTATCATAGAAGTGAAAAGACTGGAAATATATATAGCTAAGACACCTGGCTTTATATACACAAAGTTTAATAATGTTGTCACAACCCCTAGTAAAATGTAATACTTATGTACTACTCTGGAATAAACTAACTGTACATATTAAATTGTTCAAGTATATCAAGAGCACTGCTTATTAAAAAAAAAAAAAAAAGAGAGAGAGGTCCCAATATCGACAGACATCTCTTTGAAGCCCAGTTGTGATTTCAACACGATTAAGGGAGAGTTCTAAGATTTTTTTTAAGTTTTACAATATCATATATTTACAAGTATCCCCAAATTTCAAATGAACCAAACATGGATGTGGCTTACATCAGTTTAATACCCTTCTGCACAGCACCAGAGGTTAAAATGCATCTGACTAAACAGTCTTTATTAGTTACAATTTATCATCAAACATTTCTACAATGAAAATAATGGGAAAAGGAAGCCAGCTCAGGCCAAAGGCTTTCGCCTTAAATAAATAAGCATTTCATCTATTCCATACTTAACACCCAATCATGTCTCTGCCTCCCAACTAGTCAGTGGGCGGCTGGCCTCTGAAGGCTATGCAAGCCGCATGGGATTCTCTAGGTTTGCTTTGAAGCTTTCAAGAAACCTGGTGGCTAGTTCGTCATCCACCACTCGGCTGTCACTTGACATTGTGACAGTTATAAGCTGGTGCTGCCGCAGTTGGGGGTTCCCCTCTTCATCCTCACTAAGCTTCAGTACTGGGCGAAATCTCCCAACTGCCAAAATACAGGCCTGAGGCGGGTTGATCACTGCGGTGAATTCATCGATGCCAAACATGCCCAAGTTGGAAATACTAGAGAGAGGGAAGAAAAGACTGCTGAAGGTGGCATGGCCCAAATACATGTGTGTACTTTATTTAAAAACTGTAGTATGCTACTGAACCTCATACTCTGCTACTCAAAGAGCAAAGAACACATCTATCAGCATACATATGAATATCACAACTGTTCCTGAAAGGTCAGTACTCACCTGAAGATTAAGAAAAGGAAGGTGTGTCTAGTGAAGACTAGGAATGCAGCTGTTGTGCTTACAGATGAACTGATGGTCTACAGAAAAAAGCTAAAGCTCTACACAGAAACTCAGGATTAACAAGTGGATTTATGCTGCTAGGCAAAAGGTCAACAGAATTACATTTTATGTAAGTTATTAACATTTAACTGTGAAACCTGAAAATCATATCATTTAGCATAATTCCAAAAGACAGATATCGGGCAAATTTAATGAAGATCTATGACCTCTATGAAGAAAGGTATAGAACAAATGAAAGAAATCAAAGCCCTCAGACACACTCACTAACAGCTGCGGAACCAAATTTAATGCAGAAACCCAATCAAAATTGCAGCTAGGCATTTGCTGTGTGTGTGTCTGAAAAATGGCAAATGGACTCTAAAGCTTGTTGGACTATGTGGAGCCAGGAAAGATAAGCACGAGTGTGAACAAAGCTGGAATGTCTCATACCAAACATCTGACAGTTGTGTTTCAGTGTTAGTGAGTAAGAGCCAAGCAAAGCCAATGCAAAATATGACATGGATGCTGAATAAGACAGTCATGTCCTCCCCTTGCTGCAGGGGAGAGAGAAGCCTTTCAGTAAGAGACCTGGGCTGACATCAGGTTTTTATGGGAAAGAAATATCCCTGGCCTCTACTTTTCACCAAGTGAAGATCTTAGTCTGATGGGCATGATCTAGCTACAAATGGAAGGAGAAAGGCAGTGTCCCCCCGCCCCCAGACAACCTAGAAGAGTTTCATTGGAAATGCCAGAGTCCTGACAGAGGACAAACAGCACTAACTAAGCGAAAACACGGGCACATAGAAATTCATGAAAATGCAGAGTCTCTGTCCACACTACCAGGAGAGCCAGAGGTAAGGATGAGGGATCTGAAGCCACCTACCAGTACACGCATCCTACAGAAGTTGTGCATCTGCACATGCTATGGCCTACGGACTGGTTTTAAAGAGCAGATGCAAGACTTTAACAATGACTTCAACTGATGAACTACTGGGCAAGCAAACAACTGACGAATAAAAAGGTGTCTGACACTATTCATTGGCATGTTCCTGACCACAAAATACAGCACTACACACCCCGATGGCAAAAGTTGAAGCCTAACATTAACTATTGTCAAGAACACAAAGCACTGGGACTCTGTCTCCACTTTTGTCACGGCAGATGTACAAGTCTATACAACCATCTGGAAAACTCTTTGACAGAGTTTATCACAGCGTTGAACCCGGGAATTCTACTTTTAGGACCATATAGCAAAAACAGGTACCATAAGACAACAGTAAGCATGTGCGTGGTGCCATAATTCTGAGAGTACCAATCTGGAAAGAACTTCAGGACCCATGGAGAGTAAGACTGACACGAATACATTAACACACAGATTAATAATCACAGGAAAGGAAATGGCTGCAGTTTATAAACCCACCTTGCTTATAAAGTAAGTAAAAAATACAAGTTTAAGAACGTGGATGCCATTCTATGATAGCCAACAGCTAATAAAAAGAATACTTAAGACCAATAGGCTCCTTCAGCTGTGAAAGGAAGGCCTAACTACTCCATTCAATACTGTCACATGTCCTGCTCTCTAAATTTAAAGTACATGAGATGGAGCTTATGTTTTAAAAATGTCTTAAACAAATGAGAAAACATGAGAAAGGTTGACATGGGCTGAGTAAGTCTTTTTCTATTTGCTTGATACTATTGCTAATTAAGAATTTAAATATTACCTAAAAGATCCTCCTTGGTACTCCTCAGGCAACAATTTTCCATCTCTTGCTTTTTTTGACAGAACCTGAGAAAAGGACAGAGCACAGCAACAAAATCATGTTAGAGTTAATTGTGTTACTGGAAACACTTGTATAGGGCAGAGCCCCATCTGGAGTTCAGGGCAAGTGTTAGATATTTAATCACTTGTCTGTGGAGACAACAGTAAGCTTGCGAGCAGACAACTTGAGAAGTTAAAGCTCAACAAAGTTCCTTCAACAGCTTTGGAGCTCTTGACTTGTCATGAAATGCTCTGTCTTCCACACCACACTGTATACATTGGCTATAAAAGTTTTTTTTTCTTGAACTACAAAAAAAAAAAAAAAAAAAAAAAAAAGAGGCATTCTTTCTTGTCAATCCAGTAGGTTTTGAAGAATTATAGTACACATGTCTCATTGATTATAAGAATAAGCCTGCCTCTGTCTTTTAATGAACCAATAGCACAGGACCCAGGGTTTGCTACAATATATACATATAATTATATTTGTGGAAATATTAACTACATACAGTATATAATATAATATAGCAACTCTTCTATAAGCCATGGAAGATTCGGAAGGGCTGTAAAGGTAGTACTGGAACTGAGACAAAACAATGAGAAGGAGCCAGCCACGCTAGGATCCAGAAGCTGTGTACTGCCAGCATGAGTTCTGAGCCAACCTGGCAAGATCTAGGGTCTCCTAAAAGAAAAAAATAAAAATAAAAAAGGTTCCTGGCTGGCCAGACAAAGAGCACTAGTCTCCTCCCAGCTTGCTCACGAGCTGCCTGAAGCCTTGATCTCATGTTCCTGCATAGCCTTTACTGCTTCTCTGGTGGATGATTGGTAACTCAGACCTCATTCTTGTTAACTTTCTGTCTCAGTCATGTATCTCAATCCTGAGCCACTAGATTTGTCTACTGGCCAGAACACCACAACTGTATAACTGCATTCCTTTCTCCTATGTTGCCAGTCGAGTCACTGCCATGTGCGTGGTCTAACTGTTGATTCTTCAGGTACTCTCCGGATGCTCACTCCTTAAAGAAGAAATGAGATTTTTGTTTGTTTGCTTGTTCAATTTAGAAAATATCACTGATTTAGAGGAATAGTGGCCTCACTGCTAACCAAACACCTCAGCGGGAAGCGAAAAGCTTAGCTGTAGGCAGCATACGCTCTACTTTAGAGCCTAGCAGATGGGTTGAACAAGAGATCCATTACTGCACTTCTCAGAAGCTTACACGAGCTATTTAAGTGTTTTCCTGATCAGTTTACCAATCTCACGAAGTTATTATTTTGTCCTCAACAGGATGTCTTTAAAGAGGACCAAAGAGAATGAACATATATGAAAGGCTTACAGGAAAAGCTGACACACAGGCTAACATGGCAGTACACACCTTTAGTCCTAGCACTCGGGAGGCAGAAGTAGGTGGGTCTCGGTAAGCTAGAGGACAGCCTGGTCTACAAAGACAGTTCCAAGACAGCCAGGACTACATAGAGAGACACCTTTCAAATAGGGGGGGAAAAGGCTGATACAGAATTCCTGCTGGAGTTCATTACAGTCACTGCTGTCACTGTGAATTATACAAACACTTTAAAATTCTCTAACAAGCTCACAAAACTTTTACTTAAGAGACAGTCATATTAGTCTATATAGTCACAAAATGATTTTATTTTATTTTTTGGAGGGGGGTCTTTCAAGCAAGGTTTCTCTGTATAACAGCTCTGGCTATCCTAGAACTCACAGAGATCCACCTGCCTCTGCCTCCCACGTGCTGGGATTAAAGGCATGAGCTACCATGCCCAGTGATTTTATTTCTAGAATTAAAATCATTCTAATTTTTTTTCTGTTCAAACACAAAAGCGTATTTTTGAACAAGACACACTATAAAATCTCCATGTAGAAACCACAACAAAGTGGTAATTGTAAAGAAACATTCTTCTAAAACTGGAACATGGATTGCTTACCTTTCCTGGAGGGTTAGGAGTCAAAATTCAACAAGAAGGCACAGGCGAGTAAGTGCATTTATTACTAAAAGAAGGGCTGCAACTCAATCACTGTGGCTAATGAGATCAAACACTGCGCCTAGTTCAGCACTTGGTGGTCCATAAGATCAAGAGTGGCACGCTGATCTGGACTGCCACAGCAGCACGGTGAGCCAGTGCTCAGCAAACCTGAAAGGTGCGGGGAGGCTGCAGGGACTGCTTCCTCATCTCAGAAACAGCGGTTCTTTCAAAGAGAAGGACCAGAGAATGCTAACACAGCTATTTTAATACTGTGGTGCTAGAGTGGTAAGAATTGCCAAATTGCTCAGAACCAATAAAACCTATAATAGCTAAAATTTTAATGCACATCAAGATTGGAAAATCCCAGCTCTACAGATCAGTAACTTCAACCCAACATTTTTAAAATGTTATTTCAACACTTAATCTCATTTCACTCTCACAACATTGAAGTATATTACATGATAAATAAAGTTCACGAACAGTTTCCCCTGAACTTGTAGCTTCACTTTGTGGCATTTCAGTTATCCTGTGGTCAACCCCAGGATAAAAATATGAAATAGAAAATCCTAGATATGAATAGTAAGTTTGAAGCTACAGGCTGTTCTGTAGCACAAGGCAAGCGTGTACTGCCTCTCTGGTCCAGCTTTCTCATGCTGTGTACACTGCCCCTCTGGAGACACCGAGCAGCTTTCTCCACCAGATTAAGTCTCCCAGCATCACCAGACTGCTCACTCCAGTTAGATGTTCACCTAATTCATACTGTACATAAAATGTTTCCAATGAGCAGGAATAACGATGCTGGCAATTTTATTACACTAGGCCATTATAATTGTTCTACTTTAGTGTTATTGTTAACCCCATACTGTGACTGATTCATACGCTAAGCTTTGTACAGGTCTGTTTGTACATATAGAGTGTGTTTGGGCATCTATGAGGGTACCTTGGGATGCAACCTTTGTGGGCAGGAAGAAACAACTCATGTTATATCCTAGAAAGTCAGCCTATTAACTTTGACTTTTAACTCATCTCACCACCTTTCAGTGAAAGAAAATAGTTGCATTTTAATCTGTATAGCTACATGTTTGCAAACCTCAAAGAATGAAGAACTAAAAATGTCAGCCCTACTAAATTCTCCTTTAATTATGTATAACTCTAAAATTCTAAGAAAGAACATTGTTTATAGCTTTATGTTTAAAAACCCTAGCACATGTTTATTTTGGGCACATGGAACTGTGCCCCATTTGTGAGCAATGGAAACCCTAAGACAATCTTTAGGACTGTGTTTTGGATGTTGAACAATTAAGCTTTTACAGAGAACATGAATGGAGCTGACCTCTAATTTAGCTACGTTACTTTTAAAATGTTGAAATATTAAATATCCTTAAAATAAGTAACACCTTGATAAAAACGGAAAGCCTAAATATGTAGGAGGCACTTGGGATCTCCCCTTACCCTCACAGAAACCACAGTGAAACCTGACTGAGTCAAGGACCTCGAATGGGGATTAGAGATGGTCCCACGGTTACGAGTATATACTCTCTTGTGGAGGACCGGGACTCACTTCTAAGCACCCTCATAGGGGAATTCAGAACCACTTGCAACGCCAGCTCCAGGGCATATGGAGACCTTCTAGTTTCTAACGGCACATGCGCTCACACATTCACATACCCTCCGCTAACATATACATCCACACAAGAAAAGACTCTCAGCAGGCACTAAGATGAAAATGCAATCAGCAGTTTGAAAGCACAGCCTTCTGGACACATACCTTTACAGAGTCAGCGATCTCCTGTATGCCCTTAGAAGCTGCATCTTTTATGATTGGAGTAATTAAACCTTTATCTGTTGCCACAGCCACTGAAATGTCAACGGAGGGCAGCTGCTTTGGGCCTTCTCCATCCCAGCTGACATTAACCCCTGGCATTTGCTGCAAGCAGAAAAAAAGAAAAAAAAAAAAAAGCCAGTATGAAGGAAGAAGCTTGAGATTAAAGTAGTCAGAGAAATATGACTTATATTATTGTGCATGTGTATACAGCTAGACAGAAGGAAATACATAAAACTCTGGTTTCCAAAAAATGAACACTGATTGCTCTTCATGTTTGGGAAGAGAAAACACTTTTCAGCAGTATGCATGAGTGAGAAAATTCTGGTAACATACATGTTTTGAATTAAATGACCAATATGAGCTTGACGGGAACAGTGTAGCAGAAAACAGGAGTGATATTCACCTACTTTCCTTTGACATGAAAACTGGATTTTTTAGTACAATTTGAATATCTATTAACAAGCCCTCAGTAAACGAGCCCTCTATTTAAAAGCCATTTCCTGAGCGTTACAAACAGAAAACAGACATCACGCATGCACAGGTATAGACTTAACATAGAGAACTAAATCCGCTGAAGGATAAGAAGAATATACAAAATGACTGAACGCCTACATGGTGTATACTGACGTGGCCAAGACCACAGAGCAAAACTGGTACTGAATACCGAATTCAAAAGCCAGTTTCTCTTCTCAGAAATCCCCTGCTTTCTGCAGAGCAAGGTTCAAGCGTCCAGGCATGGCATTTTTCTGATGGCAGAGCACAGCCTGATTCCACTCTGCCTGTCTCTTCTGCCACCCTGTTAGGATGGACCTTTTTCCTCTATTTAGATTCCTGTTTTACTCCTTTACATTGTAATCACTTATTCTTACAATTTCTCTGCATTGTGCATTCACTCAACAACGCCCCAATGTTGAAATAGTGAAAACAAAGTCCTAATCCCTCAAAAGATCCCAAGTTCTTCAGATCATACAGATCACAAAAGACAAGGGGCTGGGGGGTTGGCCAGGTTGAGAGCGTACACTGCTCTTGTAGAGGATCCCAGCCCGGGATTCCCAGCAGCTGCACCAGGTGCCTCTCAGGGACCAGTAACTTCAGCTCTAGGGATCTGAAGCCCTCTGCTGGAGTCCATGGGCACATGCACACACGTACATGCCCATAAACAGAAACACACATACACATACCAAAAATAAAATCTTACTTAAAAACCAAAAACAGGTAAAAGCCCCAACACGGAAGACTATCTTGGAATGACATTTAATTAATGGCTACACAATGAAGACCCATGGACATGATCTAAGTTGGATTCAAAACAATATTCATAATTTTAACCCCTTTTAAAAATTATTAGAATGAGTTCTATACTCAACTTTTCTAAACAACAACAACAAAAAAAAAAAGAAAAAAGAAAGAAAAAGAAAGCCCCACAGCAAAACAAAGTAAATGGGGAAAAAAAAGACTGCACCAATACAAGCAAGACAGCATTTTGAACATCTCAGACACACTGAAGAATCACAGCAATCAGAGTCTCCCGGCTAGTATGTTTGGGAAACTGCATGAGGTAGGCGACTTTCTGGGAAAATGTGTGCTTCAAAAATGAAGAGAAGGGGGCTGGAGAGATGGCTCAGAGGTTAAGAGCACTGTCTGTTCTTCCCGAGGTCCTGAGTTCAATTCCCAGCAACCACACGGTGGCTCACAACCATCTATAATGAGATCCGGTGCCCTCTTCTGTCATGCTGGTATACGTGCAGAAGGCTTCTGTTTACTCTGCCATTCGTTTGCACTGCACAGACTTGCGCATCACCCAGTACAAGGGGATCAATTAGCACTGACTGAATAAATGGTCTTTATTCTGCTTTAAGTACTTTGAGAGCCCTTTTGAGTCTAGGTTTCCTTACCTGTAAAGCAAACTAAATTAAACAATAGGAAAAATTTTTAGCAGTAAAATTATACACATCTTAAGCCAAGAGACATTTAAAAGCCACAGTTACTTTGCTTTGGCCACTTACTTTAAGAGTAACAGCTGCTGCTCTGATAATAAAGTCATTCACTGAGACTTTAATGTCATCTGAAAGAAGAACAAGCACATTAAAGCCCATACTTGTAATACTTAAACGCTGACCCTTATGATTTCAAACTTGTACATTATGGACAAGTCTGGCGCATAGCAATGAAAAACACCAGATCTGCAATTGCTTTGTAAAACAGGTTTCCTTGCTCAGCAAAATGTGGAGTACACAAAGTCCTACACACAGTATAAGTGAGGGTGCAAAAGCTCACTTCTCGGGGGGTTGGGATAGTGTACAGCTGAGGAGATAAACCAGTACTTACTATACTCAGGGCCTGGAGTTCAATTTTTAGTATTCTTTCCATCAAGAAGCTCACTTCTAAGCCCTGCTTAGCATTTTGGAGAGGAAGTCAGAAATCATGTATGAAAATCGGAAGAGGACAGCACAGCTGCAATCAAATAAAAGACCCACCCATGGCATGGAAGGCAAAGAATCTCTGCACTTGTGCACCAGTTGGTTCTCCTCATTTTCAAATGCCCTTACTCAGTGCACACTACCTAATACATTGAAAATATCACAAGAGTAGTGTGTGTAAGTACATCAAATAGGTGAACTTATAAAGGGTTTTATAAAGGGTGATTACATTTCTTCTTTAACTAATAGAGTGTGTGACAAAAAGAATTTAAGACAAGCATTTTAAAGCATTAAACAGAGCCCTTAAATGGGAGCTATTTTATAACTCAATGCCACAAGATACAGAAACGGCCAAAGAAGCAGTGATGCTGGCACATGCTGAGGATCCCTGAATTAATGGTGAGTTCATGTGGCTCAATTTCCTTGCAATATACATAATAATTTAAGAGCAAAGCTTGGTCCCCAATCATAACTACATGTTTGCGTTTTTCCTTTGCTGTTGCCAATGGCTAGGATGGCAACAGAGAGGGACAGGCACTCCTCTTTCTTGTAAGAAAGAGAAAGACTTGTAGAAAGACCTCGTGGTGAAACTCTAGTTAATAATATGTGGCAAGAAACATGTATGCTGTTACTGCGGCATCATGATAGTCTACATGAACAGTAGCTCCCTCAAGAGTACACCTGAGATTTTAAACAGAGCTTAGACAAATGGCGCCAGCTTATACACTGCAAAGCTGTGCAGTAACTGTCAGCTGTACATCATAGTCTAGCTGCACATCCAGAAATAGATAAACATTCTGGTTTGGGGTTTTTGTTTGTTTTTGTCTAAAATCTCCTCTAGGAGTAGAAATCTAAGTGCATTTCCAGTATTTGGAGACATTATAAGACTAACACAGGCTAAAGATTTGGTCTATCCTCTTGTCCCAGCTTCCTGAATCCACTAACACCCAGCCAATATAAAAAAATCTTAACAAAATGTTAATAAAATGTTAATAAAACAGTACATGAAAAAGTTTTGTATGAGGAATTTCGGGTTGATTCAACAACTGAAATTCAACTAACATAATTTGGCATCTTACCAAAAGGCAAAGATTATCTCAAAAGCTGAAAACCAAAAACAAAAAACTTTTTGACAAAAATTCAGCATCCACTCATGCTTAAAATTCTCAGAATACAGAGAATGGGAATTTCCTCAACTTGAAAAAGATCTATAAAAAACTTACTGTAAAAATTAAAGACTGATGCTTCTCCACACCCAAAGTTTAAGAACCAGTAAGGAACACATGTCTATACCACTGGCATGTATAGCCAGTGCAAAAAGGTGAGAGAGAGTGTAAATGGGTTGGGACAGGTGAGATAAAATCTTCATGCTAACCATCCATGCCTCTCTGAAGCTGTAGTTTAAAATGTTTATGGAGAGAATTCAATTTAACAATATGAAAATACAATTAAAAATTGCACAAAGAAGAGTGATATTCAAGTGATATCTAAGATATACTGACAACCCACACACTCTTTAATCAGGTAAGAGCTTTGTCCAGCTTTGCTTGTCCAGCTAGAACTATTAAAAGATCTTGAAAATTAAGAGAAGTATTTAGCCCAAGCAAGTCATTCATCTGTCCTTACCCCTGGCCCCACAAAATACCAAATCAAGGGAGACAAAAATATTAAGCCTATTTTTACTTATGAAAATGACTAGCAGAGAACAAATGACATCATAAAACTATTGCAAGGGTTGTATGTGGCAGAGTGTGGGATGAATGCAAACTGAATGACAAGGTGGAAACATCACAAAGAATGAAAGCACAGAAGAATTGAAATCCTTATTGTACAGAAAGTAGTAAACTGTGATTAATTCAATATTATGCACCTAATCTATTTCAATCAGGAAAAAAGCCATTCTCTCTCCCATGCTAAAACAAACCAGAGTACAGTGTGGTCAGGTCAAGAAATGAGATTAAAAGGTACATTCTATAAAGAACTTCATGATCTTCAGATTAGCGTTCATTCCACAGTAAGTAAACTCAACTTTCCTGACCTTTGACCAGATCTTTTCTAACTTTTAGAACTGCTCCGAGGTCACAGTCAGCAGTGGCGTAGGCATGAGGCACAGTACTTTTTGATTCAGTTAGCCTCTTGGCAATGACTCTTCGAATATTGCTGGCAGGAATTTCAGTGAATGTGCCCTGTCCAAAAAAAAAAAAAAAAAAAAAGCAATTTGCCCATTAAAACATAAGTAGAATGGAAAAATATAAATAAAACTACTACCTATCTGAAATCCAGTGTTAGAGACCTAACAATTTATTATTTAAAAGATTAACTTAAGAAAAGTACTATTAAAAGTCTTTACAGAAAGGGAGAATATAAGAAACCTAATTTATTTGGCTTGAGTTTATACAACTGTAGAAAAAAGAGCAAAATTTAAATTTTAGTTGTGAATGAGGTATCTTATATTACCATGTTTAAGATAACTAAAAGGAAACTAACCCATCATCGCTGTGTACATATATACCATGTGTACCCACACATATATAGGCATGTACACACGCATATGTTTATGTATGCACAGGTATGCTGAACATGAGAAGAACACAGAAAGAAATATCTGTCTATCCATTCAGACAGCCTGAAAGCGGTTTTTGTTACAATTGCTGATTATAGGCAAGTCTTAGAAAAACGGCATAGTACAGAAAGAGGCAACATACTACATAATGAATAATCAGTCAAAGAACATGCATTTTGTTATTTAAAAATAATCCTGAGTATCTTATTTCCTAGGTATTAAAAAACATAAACTATAAACAAGATAATAAAAATTCTAATTTTAATATAAATTTTCTTATAAAGGCATGGGCATCCAATTATATTTAACCCCTTCCTCATGCCTTATTCCATTTAAAGATAGAATTACAGTCACCAAAGGATAATAAAAAAAAACCTATCATTTATTTTTCCTTTTACAAATGACACTTTAAGAATACTTTCTGTTAGCAAAGTGTTCTGATCAAACAGAATACATACTTTCTATACTCTGTGAGAATTTGAAAGATTTGTCTTCCTATTTTGAATAAACTACTACAGCCTACTTTAAGGAAGATTTGACACATGAAATTTCTGTGAAGACAGTGCACTGTCAATGTACATAAAAAAATGTTGCCTGTGAAACTCTTAGTTCTCATTCCTTTCCGAGCATGATAATGAATCATCTTTTCTATTAATGGAAGCAGTATATGTTCATGTCTATGATTTTTTTTTTTCAAGAAAGGGTTTCTGTGTTAGCACACATGCACTGTACAAAGGGGTTAGAACTTGTAGTAAAATGGAACCAAATCACATTTCTACTTGGAAGACAGTGCCATAAAGTTCCGTTTGTGTCATGAAATCTACAAAACAAAACAAAAAACCCCACAAAAACAAACAAACAAACAAACAAAAAAAAAACACAACCATTTGGGGGTTCTCTCTGTATTTACAACTTTAAGCTATTGTAAAATAGACTGATAAAAAGTACTTAAAAAAGCAGATAGTACCTGTTTTTATTTCCTTTTTCACATATCTAAATTATCAGAGTCTTACTGCTTACCGCTGCATTAGGTTGCCCCGGGACAGATACTGGTGGGATCATTGGCCGAGGGTAAGATGGCCCAGCTGTGGCCTGGGGAGGGACAGATGCTGCAAGAGTAGACAGAGGAGTTGGGGCTGGTCGGGATTCGGTAATCTTGCCCATCTGTTTCAGCTCGACTAACTTGAGCGCATCTCTGGAAATGAGGGGAAATTGGGTAACCATGAAACAACAAGGAGTAGACAGTCTTAGAAAATGGTGCTGAGGTGAGCGGAAGATAAACGCTGAAAGCACATACTGCAAAATCTAAGCAAGTCCTTTCCCATGACAGTCTTCTGATTCTTATTAGGTATCCGATGATTAGTCATACATTTTCAAAACCCAACTGATAATTTGAATTCCTAATAATTAGAACCTACTGGGCATATCTGAGATGAAAATTCTCTCCCAAACAAAATCTCTTACTTAGTATCTTATGGCAACTTGACACTGCTGGCATTCTGTGACAGGTCTAATCTATTCGATCCTAGAGTGTGCCCCAAATAACCCCTCAGTATTGGGTAAAGATAGTAATTTTTATTAAAAAGTAAACCTGTTTCCTTTTGGGAAACAAGTGTTATTAGTTAGATAAACAATACATTAATTAAAACGGTTTTACTTTATGCTCATGAAATAATTGTCACATGACACTGAGAAAGTGCCAAGTTATATAATACCTGTGGCTTTCATTAGAATATTTCCTAAATTATCCCTTAGAAGGAACAATAATTAAACTATTTACAGACCTGACTTTTGTACTACTTTGTAAAACAAAGGTGCAGTTGTTCGTAAAGGGATATAATTAAGACTAAGTTGTCAAGTCCTCAGCTGTTTGGTAGGTCAGTTAGCTGTCAACTTCACACAGCCTACAGTCATCTGAGAAGGGAGTCTTGATTAAAGGACTGTCCAGGATGGATTGGCCCATGGGCCCATCCGTGGGGGGCTGTCTTGATTGTTAATTGCTATAGGAAGGTCCAACCCACTGGAGGTGGCAACAGTCCCTGTGCGGGTGTTTCTGAACACATGTTCTTGGAATATTTTAGATCAAACTAAGAAAGCAATAGAAATGCTACGTCATTCCAGAGTCCCAATACTGAAGAGCGGGGAAGAGAAGAAAGACCTCTCCGAGGGTCACATGTACTATATCACTCAAATTGTCCAGGTGGGAGTATTACCACTCCTAATTTAGACACACCTGGACACAAACAACTTAAACTCAGTATCTAAGTCGGTCTGTCCCCAGCACCCACGCCACTACAGGTGCTGGGATTACACATCACACAAGACTCCCCACCAAGCTCTATTCTACAGTCACACAAACAAACGAGAGAAACGGAACTGCATCTTTAAAAAGGAATAAAGCAGAGAATAAGACAGAAAGCAATGAGTGAGAAGACTGGTTATTTTACAACAGAGGAGCTGGGGGAGGCCTGGGGAGATGGTCGGTAACGTAGGACGGTGTGAAGGGCCGGGAGAAGTGGGTAGAGAACATGCAGGCTCTAAGACGACGAGGGTTCTAATAGAAGAAAGGCCAGAGCAGAAGAGTGGTGAGCAGGGTGGAGTCGCAGGCAGCTGAGCACAGCCTGGGCAAGAACACTTGTGTATGCCCAGGTTCAGAGCCAGCTGCAAAGCCTGTGTTTTCTACTTTCTAACAGCCGTGGACATGCTATGCAATCGAATAGAGTGAAAGCAGTCTTCTCCTAAGAACAGACTACCTAAAGAGTAACCCATGATAAGCAGAATGCTAGAACTGAACAAGGAACTGCGATGTGCCTAACCTACAGCTACTGGCAGGACCCTCTGACCTTTCCTCACCAGACAAAGAGTCACAGGGAATAGCTGGTGATGGTACTGCTTCTCAAAGGGTGGGCCACAGCCTGGAGATGGTAACCGAGTGGCTGAGGGAGTGAAGGGGCCAAGTGTTCCAGGGAGTGATCTCTGGACCTTTACGGCTTTTAACCAGCTTACTTCTACTTGGAAATCAATTTTTACCCATAATATTTATAATCCAAATCCAAATTATGACTTTACATGTATGGGCCAAGGTCAATGATAGCGGACACAATTCCTGGAGACTGCTGTCGTGAGTCCAATGGCCAGCTAGATGAAAATGTTAGCACTGATATAAAGTAAGACCTACTGACTCAGAACTATGCCTCCAAAAAGGAAATTTTCTTATCTAGAGCACTTATAAGCTGAACATTATAGTTCCTTCCCATTTCATGTGAGGTAATTAGATACTTATCTAGAAAAGTGCATTATCAGCAAATAACAAACACATTTCTTACACAGATTTCTCACTTGCTCATCAGATCAAACCACATACAAGGAGATGGTAAAAACCTACATGTCTAGTATCTGGATTCATCAATCTACAAGCTAGGGTGCTGACGTTAAATTTCCTGTCTAATTTCCTGTCTGTACAAGTGCTTTGTCAAGGAACAGGTGATCTGGTTTTACTCCTGAAGTAATTAAGAATACTGGGTAAACCAGAACTTGGTGAGGAACCAAAGTGAAGAAGAGCCACTAATAACAAAAAAAGCAAGGAAAAAGTAATTCTGACCATGGATTGCAATCAAGTTTTATTATTGATTTTACAATTACATAGCCCATGAAGTGTAACTGTTAAGTGTTGTTTAATAACAGTCCACGCTTTAGTTGCTATAATGCAGAGAGGATTTTAATGATTTCTACCTATTAAATAATTAATCAGATTAAACTGATTAAAAACTCTAAAACAGGAGAAAAACAAATGAAGCATGTACTCTACCAAAAGCAGACAGTGCTTGGGAAATTAGCTCCAGCAGAATCTTTTCCACATCTCAGAAGGTAGTTCCCGCTGTGCATCATCAACTAACTGGAGACTATTACTTCAACTAGACAACTACCTAACACGCCAACTTTTGATGCTGTGACTGACATGAACAAAAACACTAAGAACAATTCTGATTTAACTGTTGGATATTAAGATTAAGGCTGATAGCAAAGACTCTTACTGTGTTAACGAGCCTGACTGTGGCCTGGCACTCGTCATTCGGGCAAGCTAACTCATGACTCCGAGCTTCTGAACAATACAGAAGTAGAACAATACTTTTGTTCTAACATGAAATTTAAAAACCAGATCAGAGGTGCTGTTGTGTGGTCAGAACTGCTGTGACACCACCTGCTCTGTATTCTGAGCTGATGAAAGCGGAGAGAAGATGGCACTCATCATTTCCAGAACCTGTCTAAGGCATGGGGTGGGGGGTAGGGGTGGTTAAGCCAAAGCCTTGAGCTCTACAACCATTTCAGAAGAAGGCATTTCTGTGGAAGCCACTAGGGCAATTCCTCTCTCTAAACTTCATCTTAATGCTAATCAGCATAGAAAAGCAAAAATCCTTAATAAAGCATGCATTAAAGATGCTTTTCTCATGAAGTCTTCTGTAATGGTTCATACTCAGAAGAACATAGTTGACTTCTTTATGGTAGTGAAGGCATAAAGGCCAGGAAAAGAACTGGGTATTAGTGGGAGAAAGAAGGCAAAAGCATCAGAAGCATAACTTTTAACACTGTTTCCTTAAGGTATCAAGAAGATAACAACATTACTGTAATTTTAAACAGGTTATTAAAATATCTGTGCATGCATTAAACATTGTGGGACATGCATTTGGCAGGCAGGGAGAAAGGCTCCTACAGCTTCACAGCCAGCCTGGTTTATGTGGTCACACCCTAAGGTGGAGGGTAGGGGGAGCAGAGAGTCCCATGTCTTTGCTGTTCTACCATTAAAACTGCTTTCCAAAAGGGGACCTAGTCACTAAGTTCAAGAACCTTTTCTCAGATTCTATAATCCTTGACTTTTGGATCATTCTATAATATCTTAGCACAGAAATTTAGTCTCCTAAGTGATGTGGTTGATGCTGATTCGATGACAATCACTGCTTTATGATCTACTCAAACTTTCTCCTCCATTTTCATCATATGGGTCCTTATTCCTGGGCAGCTTTGTGATACTGACAGAAAGCTTCAGACATCAGTTATTCTTCTAAGGCAAACCATTCCTCAAACCCCTTAGTCAACCTACTTCTGGAGCCAACATTTTCATGACCTAGACCAGGATCCCAGACACACACTCTAGAGTCTCTTTTATGACTTCCAAACACATTAAGGGCAGTATTCATTATCTCCTACCTGCATTACTTTATGAGCATTACCTCAACTGATCCACTTACCTCAGAGGCCATTATCTGTTGCAAGTTATACTGCATGAACTTGCCAAGCTGATCCTTCTTGGGTATAGCTATAATTATTTTGCATTTATTCAAATCCTCAGTGGTTAATGAATTAAGCAGGCCCTTCATCCTATCTCTCAAGTAAGAGACAGGGCAAATTCATCTTATTATGAAGGTGGTTGTTTTATTCCATGCTTTTTGCAGTGTCTACTAAGACATAATCTGGTAAGTAATTAAAAAATATAAACCAGGATAAGAAGACCAGTTTCCCAGGCCAGAACCACCACTTTATTTCTATTCTATGTGATTTATCAAAGTTCTAGCCAACATCAACATTTCTGATGAGTATTAGCTGCAGACATTGCTGTGGTGACTTTACATGTGGTCACAGGCCATCTGATAGCCTTTGTTGTACCTTTATTAGGCTACGTCCCACTAGAGAGGGCCCATCTGTTTTCATAGACCGCTGAGGGACCACTTAAAACAAATGCAAAGCTTCTGGCTATTACAAATAAAGCTGCTACAAACATGGTTGAGCAAATGTCCTTTTTGTATACTTGAGCCTCTTTTGGATATATGCCTAGGAGTGGTATGGTAGCCAGAAGCTGGAAACAGTCCAGATGCCCCTCAACTGAAGAATGGATGCAGAAATTGTGGTACATCTAAACAATGGAGTATTACTCAGCAATGAAAAATAAGGAAATCATGAAATTTGTAAGTAAATGGTGGGACCTGGAAAGGATCATCCTGAGTGGGTTGTCCCAGAAGCAAAAAGACACACATGGTATATACTCACTCATATAAACATACAACATAGGATGAACCCGCTAAAATCTGTACATCTAAACAAACTAAGCAAAAGAGAGGACGCTAACTAAAATGCTCAATCCCCATCCTGAAAGGCAAAGAGGATGGACATCAGAAGAAGAAGAAAACAGGAAACAACCTAGGAACCTGCCACAGAGGGCCTCTGAAAGCCAGAAGAAGAAAACAGGAAACAAACTAGGAACCTGCCACAGAGGGCCTCTGAAAGCCTCTGCCCTGCAGACTATCAAAGCAGATGCTGAGCCTGATGGCCAACGATGGGCAGAGTGAATAGAATTTTATGTAAGAAGTGGGAAATAGCAAGAGCTGGAGAGGACAGGAACTCTACAAGGAGAGCAACAGAATAAATAAATTTGAACACAGGGAACTTCCCAGAGGCTCATACTCCAACCAAGGACTATTCATGGAGATAACCTAGAACCCCTGCACAGATATAGCCCATGGCAGTTCAGTGTCCAAGTGGGTTCCATAGGAATGGGAAGAGGGACTGCCTCTGACATAATCTGATTGGCCTGCTCTTTGATCACCTCCCCCTGAGGGGGAGCAGCCTTACCAGGCCACAGAAGATGACAATGCAGCCACTTCTGATGAGAACTGACAGACTAAGATCCGTGGACTTGGGGAGGGGCATGCATGCAGAAAGGGGAAGGAGGGTGGGATTGGAAGGGGAGGAGGGAGGGGCTTATGGAGGGATACAAAATGAATAAAGTGTAATTAATAAAAGTTAAATAAAAAAAATGCAAAGATGCACCAATTTCTTGACTGCAAAGACCAGAAAGATATCAATTTAATACATCTCATAAATGACTATGTTTTCCCCCAACCCACAGAACCCTAAAAACTGATACATCCAGGAGATATCAATAAAGCTACTTTGTTGACAAAACTAAGGAAAAGCTGAAGTGTCTATCAGATTTTAAGGCACACTATAAAACACTTATAATTAAAATGATATTAACTCACACACAGATCAATGAAGGAGAAAAGGAAATCCCTAAAGAGAATTAACTGCAGATGGAGATTGCTTTGAAAGAATAAACAAGCTCTGAAGAGCTAAGAATTAATGTCTTTTAAAAGTATACTTCCATACCTGGGAAGTTTAAATGTGACTGTTTATACAACTTGAAGTATGTCTCCCTGCTTGGTGCTCTAATGTTCTGCATTATCACCATTTTTAAGGATGTGGCTTGGTCACTGAATTAGACCTATTTCTTAATAATGGTACAATTATTGAAAACACCCTTGCACAGAATATAATTTACACTAACAAAAGCAATTAAAACCAAAAAAGAACAGTGTATCTCATTTTAAATCTTCATACAGAAGAGCTTTTACCAGAAAAAGATAAGCAAAGGGAATGACAATTACAAAAATGCACACATGCACATACTCTTTAGTGAAGACTCCTCGAGGGCCCGTGGCTGTGCCCTGGCTGGCATCCAATGAATGTTTTTCCAGAATGTTTCGGGCAGCCGGACTTATGCGGACTCTAAGAATAAAAACACCAAGATGAATTAAACTAATTATCACTTATATTGATTTAACTAGATCTAAATGTGAACAATTTTGCTGATAATCAGGAAAGTGAAATCTTAACACTGAAGCTAAAATGACTGTCAAAGATGGCCACAGTCACATAAATTAATCTGTATCAGTCTATTTTATTGTCAAAACACTTTTGTAAAGCATTAAGTAGTTACCAATTCTAAGTAATCTTTAAATAAGAGTAAATGTTCACTGAGAGAAGGCATCCAATTTGACTGATTACACAGCATATGGTTCTGCATCACAGACACCAAAAGAAAACCAACCGTGGTGCTCCTTCATATACTTACTTAGCATAGAACAACTATATGCTAACTTCCCTCTCTAAGCACTTTTCAGTATGTAATGGAGTAGTTTTGAGTGTGAGCACACTGCTGTGCAGCCACCACGGTCATTCAGCTGCAGGATTTCCTCATCTTCTGGCCCCTGCCACCACTGTTCAACTGTCTCTCGCAATTAACTCTTCAGGAATGCAAATAGAAAAATAGAGTATTTGTCCTTTTGTGTTTTCCAGATGCCCAAGGGCTCCAGTTTCTCCACATGCACTGGCAACACTTGAGGGCTTCTGAGAGCAGTCTTGCTGGGTATGCAGGGGTGGCATGTAGTGGCAGGGACCATTTCACATACCTCCCTGCCACCTTCATCACTGGAAGATGGAGCTCAAAGCCTTTCTCCCATCTCTAACTGGACTGTTCTGTCGCTGCCGAATTGTACCTTTTATGCATGTCTTCAAGTTCATGGTATATACATGATCACTACCAGGAGAAAATCTCACTGATTTTTACAGGCAAAGCACCGAGGCACATGTGGTCTTATAGCTATTAAGTGTAGACTCTCCTATCAAGACTTTTAAGCAAAGTAGCCACTGTAAATGTCCATAAACTCAGAAAAAGAAAGTACAACAAGCACAGTCAAAAAGTTTAAAAGGAACAAACAGAAGGGAGCAACTGTGATCCTCCCTGGAATTTTGGAAAAGTAGATTCAGGTTAAAGGGTCTCATGCTACCAAGTCTTTATTAGATTTTTCAAGACATTAAAATTTAAGATTTTTTTTTTTCTGTAAGATTACACTTGGATTGATTGCAAAACAATTTTTAAAAGTCATTGTGTGGCAATAATTGTGCAGTTCCATGTTTTAAGAGGTCGTGGCAGGTTCACATGAGTGTCTAAGCATGTCTAGTCTTAGCTAGACAGTGCACACACACTGTTATCTCTGAAATGGAGAAGACCTTGAAGACAGCACAGGTGAGATGGCTTCTGATGTCATCATAAGTCAGAGAAGGAGAAACAAAGGGAGTTCGGACATGTGGGCAGAAATGCTCTATGGCACAGGGAACTAAAAGATCATCACTGATGACCCAGATCTCATCACTGTACATTGTACTCTGTGATCAAATACCACAGTATGCTTTGTAAACAGTAATACTGGGGCTGGGACATGAGCACCTGGGTTTGGATCCCCAGTTCCCACATAAAAGCTGGGTGAGGCGGGACAATGTTTACAAGTACCTGTACTATCCCAGAATAGCTGGAAAAATTTACCCATGTTATCATCTCAAATACAAAACTGCTTGAACAAGAATGCGTGCTAAAATGATAATTCCATATTGTACCAATTATACTCTGGCACTAGAATTTACATTTTAGTAATCTGAATTCTGTGAAAAGAGACACAAAAATAAAGTTTGGTCTCATGAATGCCATTCTTCAATTTTAGAACCTAATTCAGGTCCAACTTGGATACAGATAATTTATTATGTACTAGACTATCAAGGCTTTTAGAAGGCCCAAACAAAACAGGCACTCACTAACTTGTTTATGGAATGAAGAAGGATGTGCTTGGAACCTGATATTGATTTCAATCGTAACCTTTTTACATGATAATAATCATGTTTGATTAGACATACATGCTCAAACAAATACACTCACTGTGGTGTCCCTACTGTGTGCTCCTTCCTGGCAGGGCTAGGAGTCTGCGGTTGTGCAGAAGGCTGAGGAGGCACTGCTGGTTTGGGAACTGGAGGTGGAGCACCGACATCTTTGGGAATTTCCACGCGTTTCCAATCTTCCCCTTCTTCAACCATCAAACCAATGAGTGAACCCAGCTGTATATTTTTAGCTCCTTCTTCAACCTGTATTTTAAAGATATAATGGTCAGAATGGAAAGACCCAGGGTCAAACGAAGTCACAAATTCTCCACATGTGAAGAAGACCTGAGCTAAAGGACATTCAAAACAGAGGGTTCTCCCCTGCCCACTCCTCCTCCTCCTCCTCCCCTCCCATGTACTAATGCTGCCTCCGGAAATGAGCAAGACCCAGAATAGCTCCCTTCTCTGGCAGTCTTCAAAACCGGAGCTTCCCTTACTTCTTTGATGTCAATTAATTGCTATTCATGGAGGCTATGGTTACAGATGTCAACTACTTGTCTTCACTAGTTTCTATAATGGTTTCAGAATTTTAAGAGTTCATAGGGATATCCAAATTAGTCCTATCTACTAGAAATAATCTGAAGTAAAACTTTCTCAGTACATTTAGTCTCTGGAGGGAAAATGTCCCATAATACAAATCGAGCTAGTTAATGGTTTTGGTTAATTTTAAGGATAGGTTATGCCTTTGCCTATTACTTAAGTCTTTCCTGGGATATCTACTTAAAAACTTAGGAAATATCTCAGGAGCATCAGAGATACAGATCCTAGCTAAAGAAACAGTGTTTTTAGATAGTATCTGTCAATTGAAAATCTAAATGGATTTTTTTAAATTTAAGATAAAAATATTTTAAACATATCAGCAGCACAAGCTTGTTTTTAAAAGAATAATTGTAATTTGCTTACTAAAAATAAGTTTTCAGCAAACCTTGAATGACAATATTGCCTAGTTTTGGTAGTGGGAGACAATGCTGTTTCTTTAAGATTTCCTCTTATTTCCTCTCAACTACTAACGTTCATTACAGATTGGTTGAATGAATAATGCGACAGGCTGCAGGAAGTTCACCAATGTAACAATTACGATGAAAAGCTGACTTGTGGAACGGTATGACATTTCAAAATAACACTAATGTTGTTGTTTATTAGTATGTACACTACTCTTAAATATAAAACAAGGGTAATTCTATGGACTAGGAAGCTTTCCAAGCTTAGTACTTACCAGTGGAGAATAGGAACAAAGCATATAATGGACAAGGACAGAGGGCAGACTACCCTAAAACCGGACTATACAACAGAATTAAGAAGGGCATGGTCACTACAGTTTCATTTAAAGTCATAAAATCTTCAAGTGATTTTAAGACTTTCCTTACTTCCTTAATGCACTCAGAAATCTTTTCCAGGCATGCTAGCTTGGTGAAGATACTTACTTATATCACCTTTAGCAAACAGTCAAAGCGGGTGCAGATACAGTAACAGAGGCAGAGAAGCAACAGTCTGCAAAACCACACTTAGAAATGCTATATCCCCTCTCCAGGCTTGTAGCTCTAGCAAAATACCAGGAGTCTGAGTATAATAAACATCCAAGATTCTCCCATACAGTGTTTAACTCAACCAAAAACCTATACTGTTCTTATGCCGAAGTGTTTTAATAAAAAACAAAAACAAAGTATTTTTACTCTCTGCTCTATCACAGCTTACAAATGAGATACTGAATCTTGAGTCTGTTCACGTCAACTGTCTTCCCTCCCACGTGATAGCTCCCTGGGTTCCAACACTGGCTCTGCTACTACGGCGTAACACCTGGCTATGTGCACAAGAATGATTACTTCACCAAGCCAAGTGATCTGCCAAGTGAAAACAGCAACAGTCGCTATCACAGGCTTGTTAGCAGGGATAACGAAGTTCCAGACTTAAACAGTGCCTGTCACTCCACATAAACAGTAAAAGTTTAATTATAATTTCTGTGTTTGCCGTTAAGTTGCTAATTTAAAACAAATATATTCAACAAGGACCAATATTAGACTAAAGTACATTTGGTAAGGATTGGAAATGCATGGATAATAGGCCAGGATGTACTCAGGAATATAATAAGAGACAAACTGCCTCTGATCATATTTAAATAGAGGCTGAATTGCATCCCCCAGCCTAGGCTAGATCCCTAGTACCAGCTTGCTCTTTCTCTCTCTCTCTCTTTCTCTCTCTTTTACCAGAGAGGCTCCTGTAAACTGACGCTAAGTATTATAAGCTCACCTAGGCTTATTAGCAGAGTTAGAGGTACAGGGTTCGAGATTAAGATGTAAAGTGTCTATAGCAGGACTTCCAACTTGAAAGGTTATCTGAGCGCGTTCACTACACTGAAGACACTAATAAAACCAGCTGTGGTGACACACACTTACAACCCCAGCATTCCAGAGGTGGAAGCAGGAGGATTTGGAGATCAATTTCAGTTATTCACAGGGAGTTGGAGTGCAACCTGAGCTATGTGGGACCCACTGTCACTTAAAATACAACAGAAAGTAATCATAAGTGCTATCTTTTTTATTTTGGCCTTACAAAATAACCAGCACACTAGGCAATTACTTAAGCACTTTTATTCTCTAAAATTGAACTGACTACTGCAGTTCCCCCAGCAGTTAGTGCTGAGAAGTTGAGTCACAGAACTGACATACTGACATACTGTAAAACTATCCAGTTTTAAGTGGCTCTGACTCTTCAGTCTTACCTTCTTGGTTTATAAAGCACAGCGAACTTCAGCTAAAAGGGAAGCAATGTAAGAAGCATGACGAGGAAAGCAGATCAACCACAGCTAAAATGTAGACGGGAGACAGTAAGTCCAGGTATATTTGTCTGCCTTCCCGTGCCAGGCAAGGTTCTACGGATGCGTTCAATGCTCCTGACCACCTGTGAGGTAAATTAGTGTTTGTTCCAATCAACAGATGAGGAACCTGAGGCTCAAGGGTACAACATGGGATGCCACAGCTAGTATTTAAATGAATAGCTGGTCTAAGTCATGGACAGCGTGACTTAGATCAGCACCATGTCTGTAAGTGAAATTGCAACCGTCTGCTCAAGACTGCCGAGTGTCATCTCAGGCTGGTAGGATCTGAACAGAGGACATAACTGACTTAGTTTTAAATCATGCAGGGCACCAACCATATTTCCTCAAAACGCATTGCTCACCCACTTCAATATAAAAAGATTAGAACTGAGAATAGCCTCCATTTGATAGAATTTTCTCTGAGCTTTGAGAGGGTACTTTCATAATTAAAAATATCATGTTCTAAAAGACTAATTCAAGCTTACACAGGTTCAAATTTTAAGCATATGCTTTCAAACTAATATGCATCTATGGAGGTAACGGTGGGCAATTTAATGAGAAGTAAGAGGGGATAATATAACAAAGCTGAGCCGAGAAAATACACTCTTAGCAAAATGGCAATGTCATAGATTTAGAGAAACAGCTGACAGTGTAGACTATGAATAGTACTGAGAATAATTATTCAGTTCCTTTTAATATCCCGATGATTAAATCTTTTCTTAATTGTTTTACTATTCACAGAACTTCGTTTTAAGACAGGGTTTCATACAGCCCACCTAGTCTGGCTTCTAACATGCTATGTAGGCAACACTGCTTACAAAGATAAAATTGTACAAAAGAACACAGAAACATCTCAATGACCAAGGAATTGTATTACCAAGAGTGAACAAGACACAATTTGTAACCTTCTTAAAAATGTGAATTCCAACTAAATATTAATGCTTCAGTGATGATGGTTGCGGGATGCAGTTTTATAGAACCGTTATCTATTTAATGAATACAACTAAATACTTGACTGAGAATAAAAATATGTTGTGTATCTTCCTAGCAAATAACTTTCTTATGTTTACTAACATGAGGACTATTTAATAATGAAAAAGCAAAGGCACAGCTCTTGCTTAGATGGAGAGGAGATAGAAGGAAAGAAGACTAGAAATACCATCTTCGTGGCTTCTGTCCCCATTCTGCCTGGTAAAGCACACATCTACCGGCAGGAACACATTGCTTACTGTTCCCATTACTCAGAAAGCATTAGGATATGTAAAGTCACAAAGGCCTAAAATCTCTATACAATCGCTATATAATTCCTCCAGTGGGTAAATAACTGTCACTAAATCCATTTCTACTTCTTTTCAGAGCATTAGGACCAGAAGGACAGACACTACTGACCCACTGGAATGACTAGCTATTTGAAATGCATTACTGGGGAGTTAAGTGGAAAATACTCATGTGGAAGACTTGCACAGCCAAGCAATCCAGAGCTGTGACCAAGACCAGGCTGCCAAAAGCACACACAGGAAAACATAGCTGAGTTTGTGGCATATGGTGGTAATTCAAGCAATCTTTTTCTTTCGCAAAACAGTGTACAAATTATTAGGCAAACTACTTTTGGTATGAAATTTTCCAGCTATAAAGACAGAAAAAAATTTCCCTTCAAATCATATTTCCATCAAGTATATTGACTGTATGTTCATTAGTGTTTTTGAAGGGAGCTGCTGATAACATACATGACAAGAAATGGAAGTTGTGAATACCAGACTATTAAAAATAAAACATCAAGAGCTAGGAAAACAGACCACCAACAAGATCATTTTATAGTAGAAAGCACAAATGACAGAGAGAAGGTCTACATGGAACTAGAGTATAAAATCCTGAAGTACTGTGTGTGCACAGAACAGAGAAAGGCCCATATCTAGCCAGAATATAAAATCCCAAGTACTGTGTATGTGGACAGAACTGACAAGGGCAGGTGTAGTTATACCTAAGCTTCAGCTAGAGACAAGTGGGGGCTCAGACCCAAACACCCAGCCACAAGGGACAGCCATCAGAGGGGCAGCTTGCTTGTGCAATTCAAGTGGTAGAGGCCAAAATGAATACTCACTGCCCAGTCACAATCCACAACGACATGGAGCTAAAAGGGTCACCAAGAGCTGAGTGGCGCCAGCAGTGTCACTGATGGGCACGGCAGCACCACTAGAGTCCTGGAGTGCACATTTATGCACTCCCTCACTTAATCGTCCCCACTACTGCATGACTTAAATCATCCACATTATAAGGGAAAATGGTCAACAAAATGAATTTACTACTCATTACACGTCATGTAGAGCTGGCAGCAGTTTTCAGTTACTACCATCTTGGGTGTGACTGCGGGGCCTATAGTCTCAGCTGCCACCCTAACACCACACTATCTGCTCCAGGGAGAGCATGCTCGTTGGACTCTACAAGTGAGCCATGCCACAGCCCAACAGCCATGCTTTAACCCTACAAAGCTTTAAAATGGTTATGTTATTTGCTTTGTGTACTCGCAAATTCTGTCTTAAAGACACCATATACAAAACAAAACAAAAATCTAGGGGAAAAAGGCAATACTAGATTTTGGTACTATAGATAACAAGACACATAGGAGGGGCTTTATTCAAGGAGTTTACATGAAGAAAGACATCTACATCTTACCACTATTTTGGCCAAGATGCCATCGTCGCTTGCATCTAAGGTGACCACGGCTTTGTCTGTCTCAATTTCACATAATGAGTCTCCAGCACTCACAGCTTCACCTAAAAAATAAGATTGGGTTTGTTTTGTTGTTCTGTTTTTGAAATATTTAAAATTGCATTTTATTTATTACTTAGTGGTGTGTGTGTGTGTGTGTGTGTGTGTGTGTGTGTGTGTGTGTGTGTATACATGGCATGCACGCCACGGCTCATGTGTGGAAGTCAGAAGACAATTCCTGAGAGTTGGTTTTCTCTTTCAACCATATGGGTCCCATGGACTGAACTCGGGTCATCAAGGCTTGTAGGCAAGTATCTTAATGTGCTAAGCCGTCTTGACTGTCCTGTTCTGTTCTTTTAAATATGAAAATTAATACAAACATGTATACAGTATAAATAAATAACAAAATATTATGTGCTGTGGAAATACAGGTAGTTCTCAGTATTGTATTTGTACATGAATATGAATGTCTTATATCTTTCAAAAGCTATATAATGGCTATATATGCTATAATAATAATGATTACAAAGACTGACCAAATGTTATAAGTGAATTCATACTCACAGAGATAATAACAACAAATGCATTTAGTCTCAGTCCACGTATCTTTATTTTTTTGAAATGAAATGCTATATAGTCCAAGCTAGGCTTGAGTAGACAAGGACAGACTTGGATTCCTAATCCTTCTGCCTCTCAGGTCTCCCACACACACAATTTGACTATTCCATTAAGAGAGAAACTGTATCATTTCTAATACTTTTTGGTTAACACTTCAGGACAAATTCGGAAGCCCTGCTAGCATTCTACAGCATGAATGAATATAGCATAAACAGAAAGCGAAATACATCAGTGAAGCCAACAAAGACCATTTCTATGCAACAGAAAAGAAACTGAGAATGTAAGCAGGAGGCAACACTACAAATCTGGAGGTTTCTGCACGCAAGGGGTGGGGGGGATGCTGTGGGGCTGACAGAATGACCAATCAGGGCTTGCTGATAGACCACGGCTTTCCTCAGGAGGCAACAGATAACAAATGAGACAACTAAACATCTTTCAACCACATGAGCTGTGGCAAGCTACCCTCGCAGGCAAAACACGAACAAAACCCCACAGCGTGCGGAGAGTGGGCAGGAGGGAAGACATGGAACAACAACAACAAGCTGTCCACTCAAAACAAACCACAGAATGAGAGTCTCAAACACATTAAGAAACCTAATGTTATAAGAACAAAATACACAATAATTGGAACAGAAACTAAAATTTGGAAAAGCTATTACAGCAACTATTTTCAAATAAGCATTTTGAAGTAAAATAGCCATTATAAACACAAGATATCTTTAAAAATTACAGAAATGAAACAAAATGGCGTCAAGAAGAAAAGAAAAAAATATTAAATTGTGGAGAGAAAAAAACTCAAGCCACTGAACTAAGGCACCAATGAGACACAGCAAAAGCATGATAATGAAAACACTAGCAGCACTAACAGAAAAAAAATTAAAGAAGGAAAAAACAGGCCAGTGACAGCCTGAGGCATCTTCTTCTCAGGAGTTTCAGGGATAGTGGCTAGAGGGACCAGTGCAGAGCAGTTGTGAAGAGACCACCACTGAGGTGTTCCCAGTACTAGAGACAGGAGTCAGGATGAAGAACTCTGAATGGTTGTGCTAACTAAAATGGGTGCACAGAGGCGACCTGTGGCAGAGAGGGAGGCTCTGAGTTTCTACCCAAGTGCTGGTGACAAAGGGATGTGTGCACACAAACGTTAAACGAGCTTAATCTGATTAGAAATTCAGCAGGGAACAAGAGTATTAGATTGTAGAAACATGAATCCACATTTGATGACCAGAGAGACGGCACAAAACTGATAATAGGAAACACAATTTAAAAAGCTATCAGAGGAAAAGGAAGTTTACCTCATTGGAAAGACAGACTGAGCATACTTCAGCAGCTGCAAGAGTCAGAGGACAATGAAGTAACTTTCACAACACTGAAGAAAACATTGTCTGGAATCTAAGATGCAGCCAAACCATCAATTAAGAATGAACTGTGAAATATTTTTAGATATATAAAGTGTAGAACACTTTACTAATAGATTACTTTAAAGAGCTCTTACAAAATATAGTTTAAGAAAAGCAGACACAAACAGGATCGATGGACACAAGAAACCAGTTACCACTGAATATACTAACATGCTGGTAACGTGTCTCCCATTTAAAATGTAACATTTATAGTTTTAAAATGTGAAACAAAAAAATAAAAGATAACAGGCTAGATAAGAAGAAGGTGTAGTGAGTGCTAACTGGGCTTACAACTTAGGTACAGTTAGAAGAAAAACAAACGGAATTAACTCTAGATCCAACAAGCCAAATAGGGATTTAAAGATACAAATAAAATCTATAGCATTCAAAACTCAGGAAAAACAAAAAGCAACAAAGTGACTGTCTAATAGAACGTGGGCATACAAGAAGAAATAAAGAGAATAAAAACAGAAATGTCTAAAATTACAGAAATCAGCCTAGTGTATGAACACAATAAATATAAACAGATTAAATCCATCTATTATAAGCAGATTATCAAAATAAACACAAAATTAAAATCTTTGCAAATGTGGTTTATGAGAGAGCAAAAACAAAACTGAATGAAAAACACAGAGGCATAAAAATATGGGATATATAAACATACCTAGTCACACACAGTTTTCAGCTGTATGCAGCAGAGATATTAACCAGCTGATACAGTAAAAGAATATAAAAGGAAAGCCTAAAACATTAATAAACATGCCACGAAAGTTCAATGTATGGAAACTTCACTGTATACCAGAATGAAGAGCCAGGTCTTTTTACCTCAGTTATAGTAGCTCAGGACTACCAAATATTTTAATGAAGTAAATGTAGCTGTTGGATGGTAAATACTGAACACCTTGGTGCCTACCTCATTTATCCCCAGCAGGGTGCTCTGGCTAACACATATTTTACTGAAAACTGTTTGTGCACTGAGTATGCACAAAATGCAGTAGTGGGAAACAAGAGCGGGTTTGCTTGTTGGAACTTCTGACCTCAAGAAGCTCCCTCTACACCCCATAAAAAGAACTGGAAATTACAGCAAGTACGAAGTTGGAATGCTCGGGTAATATCAGGAGGGTTATCTAACTCCATTTCTAGAAGGGAAGAGACGCTTCTGAGAATAAGAAGACAGCTCCCTGAGCCTGAAAAGAGCAGTGGAAGTGAAAAGGGCAGTGAGCCAGGCAAAAGGCACACACCCAGAGCCCTAGGAAGAGATGAGGGCACTTCAGGCCACTGGCAAAGGTAACAAGGGAACATGTGAAGATTAGGCTGCAGAACAGCAGCACCAACTGAGACCTCTGTGTCAGCAGGGAGAGTGGCTGCTCCAGCCCTTCGTGTGCATCTTTTATCACAGATGCTATAGAAGAGGCAAAAAGGCTCTATTTCCAGTATAACCCCCACCCCAGTGTTCCTGTTGGAGCAATGGGAGAAGCTGCTAGGCTCGGCAACTTTTCAAATACTTCTTAGATACACAGATGGTATAGAAAAATAAGAAACTAATGCAGTATTATTTTTCATTCACATTTAAATTCCAACTACTTTTGAAGAACCATGTACAAATTTACTTCGCCCATGCAAGTTTCTGAGTAACTCAACTGACAGACTCCTGCTGTTTGCAAATTCCTCTGCTAACCTCAAAAGAATCACAAACTGCATCAGGAAATGCTTCACTGCTATTTCTCATAGCTACTAGTCACGAGCTTCTTCATAATAGAATTTATTTTGTGTGTGTGTGTGTGTTTTTTTTTTTTTTTTCCCACCCCAAGTCTCAGGCCAGTGCTCCCTACCTAACTTCAGATCAAAATGCTTTTGGGGGGAAATCTACAGTAACTTCAGAAATCCTTAGTTTCTCATAAGGAAAACACAAAATTGTTCTTTACATTTACTTGGTTATAACATTTGATTTGCAGCACATTTTTAACATCCGAAGACATTCTTTTTCTTCTTAAAGCCACATCTCTCTTTTGTCATATAACACACTGTGTCAGCAGTATTAGCATGCTGAGGCACCCAGAGCAGAGCAGAGCATAGGAAAACAAGTCAGTTGTTGAGTCACAGAGGAGCTTAAACAGAACTATTACAAAGAAGCACTAACTGTAATGGTCGTGAGACTGAAGCTCTATCGATAATCACTGTGGGTGCACACAGGACATCTGAGACTATGTAATGAGTTCCAAAGAGTCAAACCCACGACTCCATACTGATCAGCATTGAGTTGCTTGGAAGCGTAGTAACGACAAACATCTGCCAACCCCGGCTTTGCTTATCTATCCCAACCCCTGACACAAATCACAAATGATCTCCAGCAAGCTACTTATCTCTCCAACTTTCAGTAAGATTTTGAATGTGTAGGAAAAAAAAAAAAAAAGCCTATAAGTTTTGTTAAAACTTCACATACACCTTTAAATAACATTTTGCAACATTTTCTGTTAAAAATAAAGTTGCAGGCATATTTCTAGCAATAAACCATTAATAATGAAGAAGCAGCCTACCACCCTATGCCACAGTCTGTCATTTAAACAGATCATTCAGCAAACATTCACATACAAGACACACACTGGAAGGCACAAAGAAAGCATTGGCTACAACACAAGATTCAGCTCTGCCCAGGAGTTTATGTTCTAGTGGGTCATTCTGAGGCTCACGGGTGAGTCCTCAGCATCACATGGCTGGCTGCAGAAGATGGTAGCTCTTCTGCTATCTGCACCATCTCCTCCTGGTCCATGTAAGTGTTGGAGGTGGAGCGGGCCTGGAGCAAGAGTGCGGTCCCCAGGAGGGGCCAGAGGAGAGGCCAGCCCGGGAGCCGCTCCCCAGCACCGAAGCCAGCAGCATCTTCCTGGTCCGTTGTCCAGATGAGCAGCTGACGGAACTGAGGATGAGGTCCACAGATGCTTCCTCCTCTCTTAAACATGTCTTAAATAGTTAATGGCGATGTTTATTATATTAACAAACACAGTCCCTTGCCTCCTACAAGACAATTTTGTTCTACAGAAAAGGAAGACCAG